GCCCATGTTTTTTTTTTTCCTTCCTTCCCTCCGTGCCTCCATCCTTCGTTCCTTCCCCCCCCCCTTTCTTCCTTCCCCCCCCCCCTTTTTTTTTTTTTTCCCCCCCCCCCCCTCTCTCTCTCTCTCTCTCTCTCTCTCTCTCTAGAGCGCCCTCCTGCCCCCACTGACGCGGCTGCAGGTGGTTGAGCTCGCGAGAAGAATCACGTTGACCGGAGTGGTCCTGCTGATCGACGAGAAGAAGGCCATCCTCCGCCTCGCGGTGGCGACGCTGATCTGCTCGAACTACGTGACGATCTTGGCGATCACGCGCCCCTACAAGAGGCTGGACGACGATGTGCTCGCGGTGGTGCGCGCACACGGAGTCCGCCCGCGCCTTGCCCCCCCAGGACTATCCCCCCGCCCACCAGACCGCTGCCCACACCCATGTGCCGCATGCAGGCGGCGGGTCTGCTTACGCTGCTCCTGTTCCTCGGGGCGAACTGGACGACCATCTACCTCATCATCGCCGAGCGCCACCCGAACACCTCCGAGGCGGCGGACATCCTCGGCTTCAGCTCGCTCGACCCGTTGGTCAACGCAATGCTCGCCCTCTTGGGAGTGCTCCTGCTCGCGTTCGCCATCGGCGTCATTCTCGCGTTCCGCAGCGCCACTCGCGTCCAGAAGATCCAGCTCGCCGAGACCAGGACACCGCCCGAGCTGACCGTGACGATGGGCCTGACCTGGCATCTCTTCAACAGCCACATCTGGTCGACTGGTCAAGACGCCGTCGCCGTCATCAAGAATGAGCTCCAGCAGCTGCTTACTGGTGTCAAGATCTTTCTTGACGTCGATGACCTCGAGGACATCGGCGCGCTGGAGTCGTACATCAGCAACTCGCAGGTCATCCTCTTCTTCTTGTCCAAGGGCTACTTCAAGTCGCGGGCACGCGTCCCCCCTCCGCTCTCCCCTCTCCAGCGAGCCCTGCCTTGCTTGCCTCGCCGCCCGCTCTCCCCTCTCCAGTGCCCGAAGTGCTTACCTCACCGCGTGCATTCTGCCCCCGGCGCGCAGAACTGCCTGCGCGAGATCCGCTCGTCGCTGGAGCAGAACAAGCCGCTCGTGCTGGTGCACGAGGCGAACCCGTCGAAGGGCGGTGGCACGATCGAGGCATCGCCGACCCGCTCTGCTAGGTCGCCCGGCCGGCGGGCCACTAGCCCATGCGTCCAAGCCGCGCCTCTCGCCACAGGAGCTGCGCGCCGAGTGCCCGGAGGAGCTGCAGCCGGACATCTTCGACATCGCGACTTGGCCTCTGATCGTGTGGCATCTCTAGACCGTGCCTGCTGCTGCTGCGAGCATGACACGGTGTGGCCTCACCACGGCCGGCGGAGGTCTAGGCACCGGATTCAGGAGTTCCAGCTAGTCAGCCTCAAGATGATCGCCGAGGCGCTGCTGCTACACACCCCGGCCTACGCGGGCCGGGACGCGCTCCCACTCGCTGTGCCCGGCGAGGTGCTGGGCGAGCCGTGTTGCTTTGCCAAGACGGTGCTGGTCTCGGCCTCGCCCGCCAACCCGGGCGCCGACACACTCGCCGGTGATCTCCGCGCCGCCTTTGCCGGCATCGACGTCACAACGGCGGAGGAGATGCCCCCGCGGGCAACCCACATGCTGCTCTACCTGTGTGAGGCGACCTGGTCGGACGAGATTACCCGAGATTACCCGAGCTAGCCGAGATTACCCGAGATTACCCGAGATTACCCGAGATTAGGCGACCTGGTCGGACGAGGCGCTCGCGGATCAGGTGCGCAGCCGGCGAGGCTAGATCCGACTGCCCTCCACGTCCGCCCATCCCTGAGAGCCTTTGCTTGTGTGCACAGGTCAAGGAAGCACGCACGGCCAAGCTCAAGATTGTCATGGCCCACGAGAACGACGACAACCGCGACGGATGCCCGTTTAGGTCGACTTCTCGCTCGTCTGGGACGGCCTTTAGTGAATGCCATCGGTCCTAACGCGCAGCGTATTCGCCATAGCCGCTTCTTCGAGACCACGCCGCAGGAGCTCATCGCGGGAGGTCTGTACAAGGACCTCGCCCTCGCCTGCTACCCGGGCCTTCACCGCGAGGTGAGCCTGCGGCTTCTCGCAAAGGCTCTCGGCGCGAAGGCGCATGGGGCGACGTCCATCCGCCAGCGCGTGGCCGAGCTCTCGCGTGGCGCGCGCGTTCGCGCACTGCAGCTCTTCGGGCCGGCGCCGGCGCCGGCGCCGGAACGCGCCTCTGTCGGCGTGGAGGTGCCATAGGGGTGCCATAGGGGGGGCGCCCTCGCGCCTCACCGCAAGAGCAGCCAATGTGTCTACTGGCGCCGCCCGACCTGATCGAGCTGCCGCACCAGTGCGAGCCCTCTACATGCGTGCGGTCTGCACCAAGAGGATGTTCGAGCCAAGGTCAACGCCGTCCCGACGGCGTAGGCGGCGCGCGTGTGTGTGTGCGGTGCCCAACATATTCATAGACTGAATCTTGATGATGCTCTTGTGCAGATCCGCCTGCTTCGCGACCTGTTTTCTTTTCTTCTCCCCCACATGAGGCGAATAAAACGTAAAAGAAAACAAACGATATGATTTTTCCGCAAAGCGTCGTCCGTCGACGCGCCGACCCGCCATCCGCCATCCATAGAGAAGATAAGATAGAGCAAGCAAGGTGGTGAGTCTGTGTCTGAGACACAACAAGGTAATCCTTCCTTCTTACACACCGACCATGTCTGGAGCCTCGTGCACCTGACTTACTTCCCCACTTTTCTTTCTACAACATAATTGTTCCATAATAAAATAGGCTGCACGGCATGCAACCCCCCACCCCCCCAAACCACCACCCCACTCCCCGGCCCGCCCGCCTCCCTCCAAGTGTCCGACTGACCACGCAGCGAAGTATAAGGCCTTCACGGCTATACGGCCTTCGCGGCAAGAGGTCCTCACGGACAGAGGTCCTCACTCACAGCCAGAGGTCTTCAGACACGGCCAGAGGTCCTCACGGCCAGAGCGAGGTCCTCACGGGCGACGGCGGCGAAAGGGGCGGCCCCCAGAGGAGGAGGGGGTCAGCGGGCCGCGTGGCGTGGTGCATGTCTACCCCTTGCCTCTGCCACCCTGGCGACGGCAGTGTCGAGTTGAGCTTCCGCGCACCCTCCTCGAGGGCAGTACGCGTGGCTCTTGGTGTGAGCACAATGCACTGTATGTGCATGTATTGACATCGATGAGGGTTTGCGAGGGAGCTTTGTTGTAAAATTCTTGATTTACTTGAATGGGACCCCCAGTCAGGGACGGCCTCTGGACGCGACGCCGACGGCCCCGACGGCCTGGCAGGGCCCTGGCGGCTGGTGGATGAAACCATTGTTTAATCAATTAAAACCGTAAGCCGTACGTATGCGTAATGTATGACTCCCCCTGTGCCCCACTGTTGCTCCCATGGCTAGGGGAGGTAGAGCTAGAGGGGACATCACTGGCAATCGGTCCCAGGCCAAGGCTTCTCACGACTCACCAGTCGCAGTCCCAGCCCATGTACCCATGTTCAGGATGCCTACGGTGCTCCGACGGGTGCCGTCGGCGGTGCCGCAAACGGTCGTCGCGCACGGACGAGAACGCCCCTGCCATTCCGCATTCGCCAACCGCGCTGAGAGATACGCGTGCAAACTTCATGGGCGCACTCGTCACAACCCACTGTGCACTGAGTGCGCCCGTGAAGTTTGCAAAGACAACTCTAAGCGGTTCGACGAATGGCGGCGTTGGCGAATGTGGCAGGGGGCGTTCGCTCGAAACCGGAAACGGCCGCTTTTCAACCATACCTCATGCATATGTGTGAATGACTCACGCAACGAGCCTGGCCGGCCTCGCGCGTGGTGGCAGGTGGCTGTGGCCCTGTAAAATCAGCCTGTGTCGCCGTGTCCCGGGGTGTCGGTGTCGCGACGGCGCTCGCGCGGCGGGGCGACACCCGCCGCCCCGGGGGCGCGGTGGAAGGGGCTAAGAGGCATCGGTCACACATCGCACCTCTCTCCGGCCAGCGCTATATCCAGACGAGTGACAACCACATTCCGCTGAGCTGACAGAGCACATGTGCAGAACTGGGGCAACGTCCTGGACTCTGAGTCGTCTTTACCTCTAATGACATCGCGCATACTCGGCGCCCTGGCCTGCGCACGACCGCGACGCACACATGTAACCATGGCGACGCACCACCGTCCACCGGCACCGTTGGCTCAGGCGGCCAGGACGGGCTCCTGCCCCGGGATGAGCTGGAAGCTCGGGGTGGACTTGGCGATCTCGAGCTCGGCCTCGTTGCTTCATGTCCGCCTCGATGTCCGCATCCAAACAGGGGCGTCTAGATTCGGAGCGCTCGCCGAAGAGGAGTGCGACAAAATAGCGCCCGTGATTGCCTGCACGCTGCCCGCACTCACGGACTCCATACCCGAAAGAAAGAGAGGGGAGCTCGCAGGAGAGGCACAAGTGTTCGAAGAGAGAGTGGACCTGAGCAACGATATGACTTGGCGCGGCAAATGATCGCAGTGGGCGTCAGAAGAGTCGTCCTTGCGCGAGGAGAGCTCGATAAAAACTCGAGGGGCCAAAATATGCCGCGAGGAGGGCAGAGCTGCGACGAAAGGCGAGAGAAGCAGCGAGAGCAAGGGAGCGGCAGGCGGCGGCGCCGTCGCAGGACGAGGCAGAGGAGAGCGACGCGACAGAGGAGGAAGCGACAAGAGAGAGAACGACGGGCGGAGGAGTGGGACGACCGCGGGGTGGCATGAAGGTTCGCCGCATTACCGGTGGTCCCATGGCCGGTCCACGCCGTCGCTACGCCGTGCCGTCGCGCGCCATCCCCACGGCGCGCCCTGAGCGTACGGAGCGAGACACTGGAGCGACCCCCCCCCCCCACATCGCAAAAACAGAATTTAACCGAAAACAACTCAAAATCGCTCCAAGACTCCAGACTCCATGCTCTTATTCCTGCGTGACGCTGCTGGTGCTGCCCACGCTGCCGCCATCCACCTGGCGGCTGAGGAAGAGCTCGACTTGCCGCAGCCCGGCATCCGTCTTTGGCACCGCCAGATGTTCGCCTGGGTGGGTGCAAAGCTCGCGTGTCCCCTCGTCGAAATGGTCCATCAAATAGCGCGACCACTCAGGCAGTATGATCCCATCACTCTGGCCGTGGATGTGCAGCGTCGGTGTGCAGATGGGGGTCGCGTCTGCCAACAGAGCTAGCAGCTTGGGTTGCTTGGCGGTTTTGTAGCCAGCGGCGAGGACGGCGAAGCGGAAGGTGCCCGGCGGCAGCGCCGCGACCAAGAGGCTTGAGGTTGCTGCGCCCATTGAGTAGCCCCACAATCCATCATAGGGCCCGTGCGCAAGGATGGCCCTCTTGACAAGTGCCAGCGTAGATGACCATTTGACTTCAGACCCGTCGTCAGCCTCGCCATTATCTGTCGCGATCCACGAGCGGCCTCCCCACGCGTCGGGTGCCGCGTGCGGGCCTTCGAGGCACTCGAATTGAACTCGCCCCGCAAAGCGTTGGTGCAGTTGCTGCAGGCTTTGCGCCATATATTTGGGACTAGAATGATGGCCGTGCAAGCACAGAATGCGCAGCTTCGGTGCGGTGCCCTCTACGTCTCCGCTTGACTCTGGACGCCTGATAACCAGGTCGGGTAGTGCGTCCGAAGCCTGTCGTGAGGAAGATGCCTCCTGTAGGAAGACGCTTCCCATGCCCAGCAGGATTTGCCAGGGGAACCAACCAGGCCGATGCGCTGATGGCCAGCTGTCGTCCCCGAAAGTTCGCGCGCGTCCCTGCGCTCTCTCCAAAGCAACAGCGCGCGATACACACACAGCATCGAGTATCGAGTGCGTGATGCTCCCCCTCGTTGGCTGGTGCACCGCGACACTACCGCGCACGCCGCCTCCACTCATGGCGCTGCCTTCCTGGGTGCTGTCCGCGCGCACAGCGGAGATCTCCGAGACAGAGGCTCAGGCAGCCTTCAGCGGCATGCAGACGGTTGAGCTCACGCTTCCTACCGCTGTTGCCTCTGGCCCTGTCGTCACTCGCTACCTCAAGACGGCGGTCGAACCTTCACCAGAGGAGGAGCCACCGTTGCTGCTGGTCCACGGCTTTGACATCTCCTTGGCTTTGGAGTACCGCCGGCTGCTGCCGCTCCTTGAGGCTTTGGGCATTGAGGGGTACGCGCCTTGCATCGCGGGCTGGGGCTTCACAGAGACGACGAACCTGCGCAGCGTCCGCGTCGAAGCCAAGCGAGCGCATTTGCTCGCCTTCTGGAGGAGCGTGCTCGGCAGCCGCCTGGCCGTTGGGTGGGGGCTTCGCTGGGCGCCTGCGTCGCCCTCGACTGCTACCGCGCCGAACCGGGCGCATTCCGTTCATTTGCATCGCTCGCGCCGGCCTTCTTCACGCCGCCGCCGCCCGTCCTGCCGGCGCCTCTCGGCCGACTGCTGCTTCAAAACGTGCTCACCGCGCCGAGTGTGCGCGAGAGCATCGCCAAGCAGGCCTACCACGTGAAGGAGGACCAGACGGAGGACGCCATCCGTTGTGGTAATTTGCACCTCAGTCGCGCAGAGTGGGAGGAGGACTCGCTAGAATGGCTAATGAGTGGCGCGGCGCGTACGGCAACCTCGCGCCGCACGTGGCAGAGCTGGGCGCGCTGGAGACGCTCACCCTGTGGGGTCGCGAGGACGAGGTGATTCCTCCGGCTAGGGTCGGAAGCTGGCCGGCGGCGAGGCTGGTCCAGGCGCTCGGGTCACGCAGCACCTACTTTTTTTGCGCGTGGCGAGGTGGTCGACGGCGACGGCGACACGTCGAGTGTCGTCGCGGCAGCAGAGCGGTGGGACGCGGTGGCGGCGCCAGATTCGGAGATCTTGACATATCGCGCCGGCACCCGCTCGGGTACCTCAGTTTCAAAGACTCTTTTGTATTTGCTGCTACAGTGCTGGAACATTACGTCGTTATGTTCAACATACGCCCCCCCCCCCCCCCCCACGCCACCGGGTGAGCGGTGAGACCCCTGCTAACGGGTGTACACTGTAAAGAAGCCACGTACCCCGTACGGCTTTAACAACCGCGTCCGCGAAAAAAAGTAATATATCTGTACTTCCAACACCCGGACGTTCCCAGGGTGATGGAAGGTTCGACGCACCCCCGGACTGGGCGGAGAGATCCCAGGAGCACGCTGCTGGGCTGTCCGCCCCGCCCCCACTTGCCCTGACTGCACAGGATAGCGTGCCCCGACGAACGGCGACACATAGCGGGGGACAATGCGCCGGGGGGTATGCCTAACTTTGGTGCTTTGTGTGGGTCGCGTTCCCATGGTAGCTGTGTGGCTGAAGCCCTCGTGCCGCTGGCGTGCCCCCTCCAGCGGCTGGCCCCTCGAGACTGTTGGTGCTACCTTGGCGGGAGGGGGAGAGGGAGGCCCGGTGGGAGGAGAGGGAGAGGGAGGCCCGGTGGGAGGGGAGGGAGAGGGAGGCCGCCTTGGGCTCTCCTCTCCCCTCCCTGGGCTCTTCTCCCCTCCCCTCCCTGGGCTCTTCTCCCCTCTCCTGCCTGGTACTCTCGGCCTGATTACCGGAGCGTCTGCTGGAGCAGACGCTGGGGGGAAACTCTCGCCCGGAGGCGGATGGGGATGGGGCGGGGCGCCGCGCCGCCGCCGCCGCGCCGCCTTCTCCCGCGGCGCCGCCTTCTCCCGCAACTCCCGCTTTGACCTCCCCCAACTATCACGGCACTATAATTTCACATTATATCAGGCGCTGCCCCTGACTGCCTTTGCGAGGACCGCAGCAGCGGTGGTTGAGCCGGTCCGCGGTTCGAGCTGGGAGCTTTTGGCTCCTGGTTCGATTCTCGCGAGGAAGGTCGCTTCGCTCTCGCGGAGCGAGCGCGGGCGACGCGAGCGCGCGCGCGTGTGCACGTGCGCGGCTGCGCAGGCGCTGGCGCAGGAGCAGGCGAGGCGAGGCGGACGGCGGCGGCGCGCGATCTCTGCTTTTGCTCGGGTGAGGCGTGGCTTGCGCGCCGCGCGCGGGCCCGCGCGCGGCGCGGTGATGACGCCGCACGCTGAAGAGTCCTTGGTGACCCACCGCGGTGGCAGCGAGCCAGAGCAAGCGACCTGCCGCATGACGGGTAGACCTCGATACAAAAGAATTTTTTTCACAACCGCGTCCACGCGAAAACCGTCCGCGCTCGAGTCTAACCAGGGGGCCGTACATGTACACTCGCTCCGGGCGATCTCCCGCGCTCAACAGTGTGGAACAAACCCAAAACACGGCCCATATTAGCAATTAGGCAACACGATAGGCTACTCCAGGTGACTCTGCAACGCTCAGGGGGGGGCGTGGTCGGCAAAAGCTAGAACGACTGCACCGAGTCCCGCGCGCGCGCCGAGTCCCGGCCGGAGCTCTGCGCGGACTCTCGCCCCGACGCCGAGCTCCTCCGCGCCGTCTCGACCTCTTCGTCGAGCGCCACCAGCTTGGCGAGGCAGCGCGTGTCCCACTGCCTCCACGTCCGCCACGCCTAGGAAGGAGGCCGCCTTCAGCTTCCACACACCACAGGTGTCGGACCCCCTCTCAGTATGTGACCACCGGGGGACCCCCCCCGGGGGGGGGGGGGGGGGGAGACGCCCGAGCATACTGTGTCGGCTTACGCATCTGGCTAGCGCCACGCCTGCTCGTCTGCGGCATCAGAACCTCCGCCTCCGACGCCCCCGCCTCCTCCCGCGCCTGCCGGCCCGCCGCCCTGGTCGTCGAGCGAGGGCTCGCGCAGCGCGTCCCACACCCCCATCAGCCGCGCGTTGAACGCGCGCTGCATCGCGACCTGTTCACAGCTAGGGGTGTGAAGAGACGCCGTTCACAGCTCGCGCGTTGAACGGCCGCTGCATCGCGACCGAGGGGAGGTCGTTTGGCGGGTGGACGAACGGGTCCTCGAGGATGCGCGCCTATAGAAAAAAGAAAACACATAGAAAAAGAAAATAGTGGACCAACGGGTCCTCGAGGATGCGCGCCGTGTTCCACATGCCCGTGTGCGCGAGGACGGAGAAGAAGGCGACCGCGGCCGGGAGGAAGGCCCAGCTCTGCAGCAGCTGCGTCATGCCGTCCGCGTCGGCGCCGTCGGCGAGGCTCCACCTCGCCACGTGCCTAAGGGAAGGTAAGGTAAACTTCTCCACACACACGAGGTGGTGGGGCAAGGGGCCAGGCTACCCCTCGCGACTCCACGTCTAGACGGCAAAAGCCCCACGGCATTAGGAGTGCAAGGCCCAGTGCGCGTGGGTGGTGTGTGTGTGTGTGTGTGTGTGTGTGTGTGTGTGTGTGTGTGTGTGTGTGTGTGTGTGTGTGTGTGTGTGTGTGTGTGTGTGTGTGTGTGTGGCTCATGGCGCCACGTGCCTTGCTGAGATGAGCGGGAAGACCGAAGCAAAGACGCAGAGCAGGAAGGCGATCACTTGGGCGTACGGCCAAGGGAAGGGGATGTCCTCGATCTTGGCCGCCTACCGAGAGACCCAAGGATACCCCCAAGGACACCCAAAGATGCCCCGAGATGCCCCGGTGATTGCCCGAGATTGCCCGAGATTGCCCGAGATTGCCCGAGAGGTCGGGGGCTCCTGCCGGAAGCCGAGCACGCCGTCGGACAGGTCTGCGAAGGTGCGAGCGAGGACGGGCGGGTCGACCCAGAGGCCTAAGGTAAGGTAAGGTACGCGAGGTGGTCTCCGCGTCTAACGACAGGAGCCCCACGGCATTCAAAGTGCAAGGCCCAGTGCGCGTGGGTGGTGTGTGTGTGTGTGTGTGTGTGTGTGTGTGTGTGTGTGTGTGTGTGTGTGTGTGTGTGTGTGGTGTGTGTGTGTGTGTGTGTGTGCGTGCGCCTCCCCTGGCGCGGCGCTGGTTGAGGTGCGAGAGGAGGCGCGTGAGGGTGAGGGCGACGCGGTCGTCTGAGATGCGGAGCAGGTAGAGCTCGTGCTGCCTGTCCACACGCCTCGCTGTGAAGAGACGCCGTTCACAGCCGAGGTGCGGAGCAGGTCGAGCTCTCGTGCTGCCCGAAGCCTCCGAGGACCGGCAGAGAGGTGGAGGAGGGGCGCGGCGACGAGAGGCTCCTCCTGGGCCGCGGCCGTGGCGGAGGCCCCCGCGGGGACGCGTCCCCCGCAGGCAGCGACGAAGGGAAGGGCAGCGTCTCACCCACGCCGGAGGCGGGCGAGCGGCACGGAACAAAGGGCGCGTCAGAGCCGGTGGCGGCCGCGCGCGCGGCGCCCCCCCACCGGAGAGGGGGGAGGGAGGGGAGGGGCGAGGCGCCGCCGCAGGTCGGGGGCGCGAGGACGAGGGGGGCGGGGCCCGCCGCACTGTCGAGCGCCGCGCTGTCCCTCGGCTGCGCGCGCGCGACGCAGCCCGCCGCCGCCGCTTCCGCCATCCGCACTCTCTCCCCAAAGCTGGCGGCGCAGAGGCGTTGCGTTGCGCGAACGTCCTCGCCCGCGGCATGCGCGAATGCGCACCGCGGGAGACGGGAGGAGGGGGGCGGGGGCGAGGAGGAGGGCGGGGGCGAGGAGGAGGGCGGGGGCGAGGAGGGGGGCGGGGGCGAGGAGGGGGGCGGGGGCGAGGAGGGGGCGGGGACGCCCGCCACAGGGGGGCGGGGACCCTCCTTCGCCCTGGCATCCCCCCTCCCCCCCTCCCCCTGCATCCAACGGGCGGAGAGCACGGCGGCGGCGGCGGCGGGGAGGCTGGCGGGCGTGTCCTCGGCCGGGGCGGAGGAGGGGGAGGGGGAGGCGGGCGGGAGCGGCTCTTCTCGCGCGCTCTCCAATGGCGGTGGCGGCGAGGCCGGCCGCAATGCCGGCGGCGAGGGCGGCGGCGAGGGGTGCGGTGGGGGCGGCGGCGAGGTCTCGTCCTGGCCGCTCTCGTGCTCGACGTCTGCGTCGGGGTAGTCCGCGCTGTCGGCGTGCATGAGGGAGGCGACGTCGCCCTGGGAGTCGCGCCGGAGGTAGAGGAGCGCGAGGCCGTGGAGCAGCGAGGCGAGGTGGAGGATGGACGCCTGCGACAGGCGCCGCTCGCGCCACGCGGCCCTCCTCTCGACGGGGTCGGCCGGCTCGCCGCCGCGGCGCAGCTCGTCAAAAGAAAGCGCGGTGGCGACGGCGTCGCCCCAGCGCGCAGACATGTATGTGACAGAGGAACACGACTCCCAGTAGCGCAGGTACGCGACGTTTGTGGCGAAGACGATTGCGACGCCGACGATGTGCGCCACCGGCTGGAACGGGTAGGGGTCGTCGAAGATCTTGTCGAGCGACTTTTCGGGCACGTAGATCTGGAGGAGCACGGCCACGACTGCGGAGTAAGTCGCGACGAGCGCGGCCGAGGGGAGGACGGAGCCAGAGAAGCGGACGAGCACGCGCAGGGAGGCGCCCTTCCGGTAGAGGATCATGGCACTTTGTTCCGTGTTGGCCGCCTAGGGCGGGGCAGCTCTAGGCGCCGTTCACATAAGCTGTTCACCAAAAACACTACCTGACCCAATACGCACAGACAGTCAAGAAGAGGGAGACGGCAATGACAGATCCATGGACCATGCAACACAACCACGACCGGCAGGGACTCACCTGCTAACCGCGGCAGGGACAACACGACTGTACTCGAGGGACGCATCCCTCCTTGTCCCATTATCGAATTTGTGCAGGCGAGAGTACTCGTCCGAATTCCGGCGTTTTTCATAATTCTCACCCTACTATACTTCGAGTACTCGAGTATGACAACACAAACTCTCTCTCTCGAGTATGTAAAACGCAGAGTGGCCTGGCGGACCAGAGTCCCCGCCGTTGCCGCCCGTCTCAGTGAGTACGAAGGTCGTACCGTTGTTTCGTGCCAACCATCACCAGACACGCTCACACGCCTCACGCGCGAAGCTTCCCAGAGCCGGACCGGTCGGAGCGCTCCTGCTGCTGCGGAGTGTGGCCCTCGTCATCGGCATTGTCCATCATTCAACCGCCTATCCGCACCAGCGTGGGGGATTGGTGATGGATCTCAAGTGCAAGCTTCGCCGGGCGAAACCGGGCGAATGCTTTGGGAAGAGGGAGCGTTCGCGGCAGCGTGAGCAGAAGGTAAAGACGAGAGCGAGCAATGCAATCGCCGCCGCCGCCAAGCCGAGACCGCTACACTGGTCAGCTCGAAGTCGAACGTCGAAGGCGTCGTGCCCGAAGGCCGAAGGCGAAGCAGCAGGTAAAGACGAGCGGCGTCCATGTGGGCGGAGGCGGCAGAGGCGGTATCCGGGCGGGTACTTCCGATAACCGATAAGGGGGCGTCCGACCACGCCGATGCGCTCCTCGAAGCCGTCGGGCGCCGCCGCAGAGCGCGAGGCGTAGACGCGGTCGAGGCGCGGCATGCGGGCGGACCCTCACAGATCACAGATCACAAAAGGCTTGGTTTCCTTTTGTTATTTTCAGTGTGGTTTCTCGGCCGACAGGTTGAGCCTCTGCCGGCATCGAGCCGACGCAGTCGGCGACAGTCCGTCGCCGCGCGCGATATGGTGCTGCCACTTGCAGTCGTTGCGTCCCTCTTCGGAGCTCTCGCCGAAAAAACGCCAACGGAGAAGTCCACCGGCCAAGGCAGCGAGAGTGTCCCACGTTCCTCTCGCGCTGAGCCCAGGGTTCACCCGCTGGCGCACCTGCGTCCAAGGTTGCCCGTGCACGCATACAACGGCGGTTTGCCTCAATTCTACTACTGGTCACCCAATCTTGATCACCCAAAGCCGAGCACCGTCCGGCTGCGCTGGAACAAAACCCTCGTGCGTCCTGGCGAAGGACTCGTGCTTGAGGAGACGGCCATGGGATACATGGTCAATCGCCCCGCCCACGACGGCGTCTACCTGGTGGATGGCTCTTACTACATTGAAGTGCGGCGCAAGAGTTTGTTTTCAAAGCACGGATGTTGTACAGAGCCCTTCGCCGGAGGCTGGTGGCACTTTTCCACGTGGATTTTGCAGGAGCGAGGGGGGAGGGCGCATCGCCGCGCGGGGAGGGCTGGGCACAGGGCACAGGGGATCTCTCTCGCATAGGATATGCACTCGGCGGCACGAGGGCAAGGCTGGGCGTCCTATGTTTGTGCTCCCCCCCGGACCCCTCGCTCTCGGGCACTACAAGATCTTGGAAAGTGGCACTTTTCCCGCAGCGGCATCTTCCTCCAGGTTTCCAAGAGGGTGATGGACTACACCTGCCCCTGGTGGGTCGTGCACGCGCCCGATTCATCGGTGGAGACGCAGTGGTTACGGAAGACCAATGTCGCTGGCGGCTTCCGGAGTCGCTTTACGGGTAACGGGCTCTGGGACCGCTTCACAGAGGATGTGGAGCTGCGCTGCCTGCGCGACTGGTGCACTCCGGCGGCTTGCCACAAGACCACCTTTGGCGACACGAACGCTGGCGTGTGGCTGAACCAGCCAGCTCACTGGAAAGGCGACCCGCCCAACTACGAGCAAAGGCTATACCGAGAGTTCGAGGTCACGATCGCGTGGTGGGGCCTTCATGGAAACTCGGAGTTCATGTCGTGGGGCGAGCGTGGGGCGAAAATGGTCGTCGACCTCCGCCCTACCAACCTGACCCAGGCGAGTTATCTCAATGGCTCCGTGCATTGGTCGTGCCCGCCGCAGCACCACTACTACGTGGCGACGTCCGATGGCCGCATGGAGCCGTGCCAGTGCGACTCAACGCAGCGTGCGCTCAATTGCCGGCAGCTGGAGCGGCAGCTCCGGCCGTCCCGCCGCAAAGATGGGCAGGTGCGGCCGGCGGAGGAGGTCGGCCCTCTTCGTGTCGAGGCCGCCTCTGCCAACGGCAGCCTGTGCTTCAACGCGGTCTTGTGTGGCGAGCCAGTGGAACAGCTGGTCCAGCGCGCCCGAAAGCTCATCATGCAGCATGACTGCGCGCCGGCCGAGAGTCATGTGCTGTGGCCTCCGCGCGCAAACGAGACGTGCCCGATCTAGAGGCGCCCCGACAGTACGGGCGCTCCTGCTGCACACATGCGCATTGTTGTGTGGGAGTGAGGCGGTAGCTTTGCCTCCTGCATCTGAGGTGCATGCAACGTGACCGTATACGTAACTTACTCCTTTGATAAGTGTTTTATGTACAGTTTGGAGCATTAAAATGAACTCGGGGGCACGGGAATTAAATAGCGCAGAGCAGACTAGTTGCAAATACTCAACATGACCACTTTTGATGTTTTTTTGTCCGTGAGTTGCTCCCAGCGCCCTCGCCCGCGCTCCCTGAGCCGCTGAGGCCATAGCTGAGGTGCTACTAGTATGGGGGGCTACCTGGCTACCGCGAGAGAGACCCAACTCGTCGACGTCGTCCGATGATGGTGCCTCAAGGGCAACACAGCGTCACCAGCCGTTGGCGCGCAGAACGAGTCTGCGGCCCCCGGTTGGGACGAGTGCGCGACGCGGACGAACCGCTCAATGTGGCCGGCAGCTCGCGCTGCCGGCGGGGAGAACCGGCACGGGGAAGGCCGGCCTCCCCGGAGGGTTCGCCCCCTGGAGGGGGCCCAAAGGGACCCCCGGGGGGGCGGGGGCCCCCGCCCCGAGGGGCGGGGGCAGGTTCGTCGCTTAGCGCGATGGAGTCAACCCTTGTTGCCAAGTCGGTGAGCGTGTTGCGTATCGAGAGAGAGACCATAGCAGATGCGAGAGCGGCGTCGTCCGGGGAGAGTGGTGGTGGGGGAGGGTCAACATCGAGGGCAAGTACGCATCGCGCTCCCCGATCGTCTCCGATCTCCCTCGCCTGCTCGCTCGGCACGTAATCGGACCATATCGCTCGAACTCGGGGGGCACGGCGAGGGTTAGCGACGGGTGCGGCTTCAGGGTCGGTGGCGGGTGAGGGGTGGCTGACGGGGCTGGCTGGGGCTGTAACCGTTGGTGTAGCAGGCCCACAGTCGGCGTCGCTAAAAGGATGCCGCAGGTCGCACCTCATATTCACTGTTTGCAACCTCGCCGTGTAGATTTGAATATCTTGGTGACACGGCGAGGAAAAGCCTGGCGTTGGCACCTGATTTTCGGTGGCGCCAGGGACCGGCATCTGGTTGAATGTTGGACGCAGCGTCCGACTGCAGCGAAAGACTTACCGTGGCTCTGCATGCTGACTGGCTGCGGATGCAAGGGATCCGAAGCGGCGCGGCAGGTGAGAGGCAAGCTTGGACCGACCTGATGCTACCCAGAGTTTGTGAAGTTCTGTGGCATTCAGAGGCGTTCATGGAGGGTGATGGCGTACGAGCTCGGCTACGAACGATACAGTCCAAATCAACGCCTCCGAGTCCCATCCTTACACGGTACCAGAGTGCTTGTTCTCGTGTCCCGAGCAAGCATGCTCCGTGGGTGCACCGTCCCAGCTCATGATGAGTCCCCATCAGCGGCTTCTCAGCCCGTGCAGCCATCAAGCACTGTGCTCGATATCGGCATGAAGGTAACAACACATCGGCACGGGTGGGTTGTCCCTTCGACACGGAGCTACGCACACACCGCGCAACACGCCCATGTCTTTGCGACAGCACACTTCGCATCTCACCTGCCGTGAAGAGCCGTCCGTCCACCTTCCTGCAGACGTTCCGGCTCTCTCGACAAGGTAGTTCGGAAATGGTAAATTGCGTCTTTGTAATACGTATATTAGTGCTCTGTATACTCTGTACCAACTCCAACAGGGCCCCACACGCGGCGCCCGCTGAACATACTCGTGAATTGTGCATACCTGCATCGCCTAACTGTAGCTCCACCCGCCCGCCGCCACCGCGCCACCGGCCACCGGGCTGCGCCCTCGACGATGTCTCGTGTGGTCACAGCGCCCGCGTGCCCACGCGCATACGTGGCCACGCGCCGGACGCCCCCCCCTCCCCCTCGGCCTCCGTCAGGGGTGCCGACGCGTTGGTCCCGAGGAGGTCGGTGTAGATGCGCGCGCGTGCAAAGATGCCCCTCGGATCTATTGAGCGTTGAAACTAAGCCTGCTGCTCTTCGACTGGCGCTTCCGGCGCCTCGCCGACCGCCCGCGCGTACGCCACCGCCGCCTCCACCGCCGTGCCGAAGGTGCCGAGGCCGACCTGCCTTCCGTCCACCCTGGCCAGGTACGCCTCGAAGCGGCCAGGGCGCTCCTTCCGCACGTCCTTCCGCACGCCCTTGTAGCCGGTGAAGCTGCAGCTCGAGAGGTGCAGCCGCAGCCCCTCCGCCTCTGCCGCCACCGTCCCTGTCAGCTCCTGCTCACGCTTGCAATCTGAAAGATACCTGGGTGAAAGCGGGGGCGGAAGGGGAAGGGGGAGAGTGGGGGTGGTATGGGGGTGGGGGTGGTAGAGCCGTATGGGGCTGATGGGGAGAGGAGGGAGAGGGAACGGGAGGGGGAGAGGGGGAGAGGGGAGGGCGACGGGGGATAGAGGCGGAGAGGGAGGTCCGAGGGTGAGGGTGCGGGCTACGCGGAGGGTGAGGGCGAGGATGAGCTCCATTTGCGTGACGCACATGACGCGATATATCTGTAACGTGTACAGCTGCAGCGCGTTGAGTATCACGGCACAAATCAGCGCAAAGAAGAAGACGAACTGGTCCTTCTGTCCCCCATTGTGCACCTGAAGTACCGCACACGGGCGGGGGAGCGGTGAATGGGGCCAAGCTAGATAAAGATGAAGGTAGATGACGCCCGTGTTTTGTGTTTTTGGGTGAGCTAAGGGTGTGTGGACTAACCTCGGCATGGGTGGAGTGAGCTAGGATGTGGTCTGTGGCTTCGGGATGCGTCAGGCTCGAGGCTGGGGCTCTCTGGCCCATGGAGAGATGAAGGTGCCGCACCATTCGTTTCGCGGAGCCAATAAAGAGGTAGAAGAGGACGAGGAGCTGGAGAACGCGAGTCACTGCGAAGAGGGCGCACCCCCACACGATTGAGCGCTTTCGCCACACCAGCGAGGCGCCAGTGCGGCGAAGGAAGGTAGCAACAAAGAGGCCGAACTCATAGTTCACGAACCCATCCAGAATGAGATCGACCTTCACCATGAATACAGAGCGGGTGGCTGCAGCCACAAAGATGAGGACCACCCAGAGCGTGTGATGAAATAAGAGCATCCAACCTGTGCGGAAGAAGATCAGCCGTGAGCAGACCTCGACAAGGTAGATGCAGCCGTGTAGCAGAAAAAAGCCGAATATCCAGACATAGTCTTGCTGAATTGTCTCCAGCAGGTCTGGACCAAAGAGCGACCTCAGTATGTAGTATGTGTACGGGATGAGGGTGGTGAGAAGGACGAGGATGTTCGAGACACCGAAGACGCGGCGGTATCGCTCGAACACCTGCCAGTCAAGTCAGTCAAGTGACGTCAAGTCGGTGATGTTCGTGTCCTCAAGCTTGCGTGACAGTCACCTCAAGCTTGCGGAATCCCCTCTGGAAGACAACGAAGAGGGAATTGACAGTGAAGAAGAGGGCAAAGATGATGAGGAAGCAGGCGAGCTGCACCATGAAGACGTTGCCAAAGTACTCGTCGGTGAAAAAGGAGTCGGCGACCTCGTCGATCGCGACGAAGTCGAAGATGTTGTGAAAGGCCCAGCCTTTCGGTGCGTCAATGAAGTCCGAGGGGCATAGTGAGGCACCGGGTGCGTCTGGAACGAGGAGGGGGGTCCCGCACGGTAGCTGCTCCTCGAGTCCGGCATGCTTCGACAGGAGAGCGCGCAAGGATGCGTTTCTGAGATACTCCACACCCGCCTGCGATAGCCGCTCGACCGACGACATGGCAGGGTCGCGTACGTGAATGAAGTTGAGTATGGCGGAGAGCGCGAACGCGCCAACCATCTGCAGCATGGCTTCAGAGAATGACGAGGTAGAGGGGTCTTCGTATATCTGCTCGACCATGATTCCGACGAAAAAGTCAACATGGTCAACTGTTGGGTACAGAGCGGCAAGGGCGGCGCGTATCTCGGGCGAGGTCCCGAAATCGTCAAAGCTTCTCAATGGCCTCAGCCCAAAGTGCGTCCGGTATGCATTGAAGGAGCGCATGCGCTGTGCGCGTTCATCTTGAATCGTCTTCATCGTGATGTCGCGCAAGTAGGACGGCGTGTTCTGCGGCGCGAGTGCAGCTGCGCGAGTCCGGTGCAGGGCAGCTGCAATGCCATGGACGCCATGTGTACGGAATGTGGTGGGGTCCCAAAGCAAGTCACGGAAGGCGACCTCAGCGCCACCACCCAAGTCAAGCGAATCGGCAACGAGCGCATGCCAGCGGTAAAGGTGGTTGAACTCCAGATAGACCTGGGGTCGAAGTGAGGGTTATGGTTGGGGTTGGGAATGGAGTTGTGATTTGCAGAATGGTCGGAGAAATGGTGGGGGCACGGGACGACGCGGAGGAGGGCACATGCAGCGGGGGGGGGGCGAGGGGGGGGGGCGACACGCAGGAGCGCCACGTGCAGCACGTGGGGCCCCACGGGCGGGGAGGGGGTGGGCGAGGGGGTGGGCGAGGGGGTGGGCGAGGGTGGGGGCAGGTCCGGATCAGAGGCTTTGTGTTTGTGGGTACAGGTTCAGTAATGGATGGGCCTGGTTGCGCATTGTGGTATAGTCCAGCTCCCTGAGCACGTCGAGGTCGTACTTTACGGTGAGAGCATCACGCGTGGAAGAAATCGCTTGCAGAACGTAGTCCTGCAGCACAGTCTTAGTGACCACGTGGACCTGGATGGGAGGTGGGGTCCCGGGGGTGGGGAGGTGGGACCCCAGTAGTGGGTGGGGGTGGGGCGAGGGCAAGCTTGGGTGAGGGCAAGTGTGGGGGGAAGGGTGAAGGGAGGCGGGTGCTTGTGTGGGTGGCGATGGCGATGGTGATGGCGAGGACTAGGGAGGTTTGCTGGCTTGCACCAGCAGTAAGCGTGCCGTGCTGTACAGCCGCTCGTCATCCCAATCGCCATTGGCAGCGGCAAGTTTGTCGACCAGCTCATTGTGTTCCCGAAGAAAGATGGTATTGAACATCAGGTGGCCCGGGTGGAAGTTGAAGCGATCCTGCCCGGTTGCAAAGTACGCTTCGGAGTTGAGGCAGGTCTCATCACTCACATTCCACCCACACACAGCGCCGAATAATGGATGCGTCGCGCGTACTTCACGCAGACTCGGCATGCTTTGCCCGCCATCGGGCATGGGCACGGCGCCCACCTTGAGGTGGCCGCCGCTGAAAGTGCGCAGCGCAGCTTCGCGGTACGGGTCGGTCCCATAGAGCTGCCCGAGGCGCATTGTGCTTGTCAGCACGCCGCCCCTCTTAATCGGAGGGTGGCCAGCAGGCGTAGCTCCCGAGTGCTGGCGGCTCTGAAAGACACACGTGCTTCCGGTGTCCATTGGCTGAGTGTGCTGTCTGTAGAAGGTGCCGTTGGTCTCCGGCTCCGTCCGAAAAAACTCGTCCAGAAACCAATTTGCGAGGGCGACGAGCATCATGTTGAGGCCCACCTCATCAGGCGTCTCTCCCCCCTGGCGCTCAAGTACAGCAGCGAAGACGGCGGCAGGTGTTGGCAGGTGTTGGATCTCCCGAAATGAATGTGGCTCAAGGAGCAGCGGGTGTCGGGTGAGATAGTCATCGGACAAGAGGCTGTTGAGCTCCGAACCCTCCATCGCACCCGCGTAGTACCGAGGGTGGGCGATTACACCGGCAGTAAGCTCGCCGACAAACCTGGATAGCGTCTTCTTTGGTAAATTGACAACACGCCCATTGCCTAGGTCGACTGCAAAGGAGCGCAGTCGCTCGAAGGGACCCGCCCCTCTCGCGATACCAGTGAACAGGACAAAGGTCAACCAGCGGCCTTGCATTTGCTTTGCACGACAGAGGCGATCGCCGAGCAGGTGAAAATCTGATTTCTTTTTATATTATACGAACAGCTTGGCCCACATTTCTTTTCGGGCGCGAATAAACCCAGTGAGAAGAGACGCCGTCGCCAACTGTCATGTCGGTAGCCGCTCTGCACCGCTCGCTGCTGGAGCGCGGTTGATCGCGGCGCTGACGCCGCGGCGGCGCCATCTCGCGCGGCGAGAGACGGCGCTGCATCGGCGCCAAAACAAACGGGAGGTCGCGGCGCGGCCGCGGCAGCAAAAACATCGACGTTCGCTTCTCCTTCTCGTCTCGTCTCGTCTTGTCGCAGGCGCACACGCGCGCGATCCGCGTCGCTCCGCGAGGACACGACCACCGGGATTCGAACCGGCGGCATAAGAGCGCCGGCGCTCGAACGCCGGCCGATCATGCAACGGGGTCATGCAGTTGTTGTACGCTCCGCAAAACCGGCTCATGATATATGACTGGTTTTGTCCGCGGGCGCGAGGGCACTGCGGAGGCGGGCGGCGGCGGCGGAGGCGGCTTGGCGGCTGCAGCAGCACACGGGCTACTCGCTCCCTCCCGAGGGGGGCAGCGGGTTCGGTGACCTGGTGTACGCCACGGTCCCTCTGGGCTCCGTGGCGACGAAGGTCGCCCGGGACTGGCTCGCAAACGAGCTCTACGAGCCGTCCCGGCGCGGCAAAATCGATGCGGCCTGCAGGGACCGAAAGGTCGCCGACCTGATCACGGCTGCCGGCGCCTCGGCGCCGGCCGACGCCGTGTTCGGCGGCAGGTTCGCGACGGGCGAGGCGCCCCGCCCGACGACCCCCGCCTCCTAGGCGGACGAGGGCGACGGCGTCGGCGGCGATGGCGGGACCGGCACCAAGGGCTTTGACCTTTTCGGGCCGGACCCCACCCCCATGGAGGACCTCTGAGGTCCTCCCCAGTCTCACCCCACCTTACCTCTGCCCCCCCCTCCCCCCATCCCTCTGCCTCCCATAGGGCAGGATAGCACTAGCATATGCGCCTAGTGCGCATTGGGCCCACATAGATGTGACCCGCCCACTCGAGTGCGGCGCCCAGATGCTAGTGCTTGAGAGTTTAAACAAATGAACTCTCTCTCACAGCAGACAGGCTCGACACAGGTGCTTGAGAGGACACCACAAACGCGGCACGGCCCGTTTTGGCTGTCTGCGGAGATTTTGTCTTAGCACACACAGTGAGTCATTCGGAGTCATTCGATGGCCAGAGTGCGATTGTGTGTGTGTGCGGGAGTTGGTTTGACCGTTTGTCGGGAGGGAGGGGCAGGCTGCTCACCCAGCACGTGCACCGGGCCAGTGCTTGCACTTTGAATGCCGTGGGGCTCCTGCCCGTGTCCGGGTGTGGAGATGCGAGGGTCGCCCCCCCTTGCCCCACCACTTGTGTGTGTGGAGAAATTTACCTTACCTTACCTTGTTTGTTCGTAGGAGGGGCCATGAATCGCCCCCCCCCCCCCCCCCGCCTCCCTCCCCGGCGCGGAAGCTCCTTCCTCTTCTCGATCAAGATCGGTCCATCTTTTGGCTCTCAAAGCCGCTGGCAATATCGGGGCGGGCAGCCAGTCGCGACCGCGCACTCTCGTCACCCAACAGGAAGAGCTGGAGCCACGCAAGAGCCACCCCGCCGATGGCCCCGCGCGGTGCATCGTTTGTGGCGTGGCCACTTGGCCCGTTCAGGCTTCCATATGGGCACGGCGCAAACCCACAGCAGCACATCGCGCAACAGCAGTTGCACAGGGCGCAGGGTTCAAAGCCCTTCTCAAACTCCTTCTCGGTGCCGCCCGCGGGACCGTTGGCAGAAAAGTGATCCCCGCCAGAGATCTCGAAGATCAGCTTGGGCGCGCTCGTCTTGCGATACTGGACCCACGCGTGAGTCTGAGAGTTGGCCTCCTTGTCATGCGCTCCGCAGAGGAAGAGGACCGGCACAGACGCCGACAGCTCAGCTGGGAACGGCACGCCGAATTCTCTGCCGTCGTGCGGGCAGACTGCGATGCTGCACTTGAGTGTTGGGTCTCGCAGTGCCGCGAGCTGCGCGCCGCCGCCGCCCAGGGAATAGCCCATGACCGCGCGAGCGGACACATCGAGGCGATCGTGCAACGGCGAACCAGCGCGGGTGTTCTCCGACTGCAACGCCTTGCTCGCATCGAGCAGCGCCCCGCAGCGCACGGGCGGTGAATCCCTCCATGGTGTGGGAGTGCCGATGGTCATCGCCACAATGCCATGCGAGGCAAAGAATGGCGCCCACGCTGCCATCGCATGCTCACCACATCCCCACCCGCCAACGATGACGACGGAAGGCAGCTGCGCCCGGCCGCCCTCTGGGAAGTAAATGGTGGCCGAGGCGAAGCTACCAAGGCGAGTCGTAAGATGCCGAGCATCCAGCGTGCCGACAGCATGCGGACCCAAGGCGCAGGAACCCGTATCCATTCGCGCCGGAGAGCTGTGTTTGCTGGCAAGGAGTGGAGAATATACTCGAGACCTCGCCAGAAGATGCCCAAAGGCCTCCCCGAGGGAAGTTCGCTCAGGATGTGTGGCAGTCAGTCTGGCTGAGTGTCTTCTGTGTGTCGCTCCTGTGTGACCGTCATCGCCCGTCTAGCGTCCACCCATACCGCGTTGGTGTCCCAGTCGTTGGTCGGACTGTGTTTCGCCTTCCCATCAATCAATCAAGGGCCCAAGTCCATAGACACCTCACAAGACCCCACACACGGTCTCGTCCATGCCTTGCGGCTGGCGACGAGATTGCTAGAGGCGGAGCAAGCCTGCTCTAGTCTCACATGTTCGCCCTGTCGCCTGTCTGTGTTGTTGTGCTGTTGTTTGTCTCTCTCTTGGCACCTTGGAGTGCTAGGGGGGGCGACAGGGGGGACGTGGCCTGAGTGATGTGTACGCCCACTCAGGATGTGTGGCAGCCCGCTGGCTGTGTGTCTTGTGAGCTTGTTTGTGTCTGTGTGTTGCCCGTGCGTGTCGTCAACGTCATCATCTGTCTAGCGTCCACCCATACCGCGTCGGTGTCCAGTCCGAGCCTGACTGTTCTTCACCTTCCTACATACATACATGCCCAAGTCAAGAATTGGCTTTCTGGTGGCGGGCAAGAGAGAAGAAACAATTCCTTTTTGAAAAATCGCTCCTCATCGCAAACCCTGTCAGCAGAGTCCTCCTACGGGAATGTACGTAAGAGCTACATACACTGAGAGAGAGATCAACCGCCTTGCGCGCAAGGCTCAACGCTCGGGCGTTGACCGCACCGCGTACCCTCCCCACTCCCGCCTCTCATTTGTGTCACACCACGCGGAACGCATCTCCATCGCTTCGGTGAAGGGGGTGAACCGTGCCATCCTCGATCGCCGTGCAAAGCTCGCTTCCGAGCTCTCACGCCGCGCGTAGGGCCCTTAGGGGCCTAGAGAACACAACCCCCTCTCTCTTTTCTCCCAGTAAGTAAGCTAAAAGTACGTACACTGAGAGAGAAAAATGCTCTTTGCCACGGCATAGGACGGCACTGCCGCGCCCTTTCGAGTACTTTCGCCGCGAGAGTTCATTGGGGAACGAGCTGTCGATGTTGCGGCGGCGACCCTATGCGCATCCACCACGCGAACCGCCATGTCGCAAAGGGGACTTGAAGCCAACACCGGTCAAATTGACAATGACGACACGTTCGCAACCGTGGCAAGAGTTCGGACTGTCGCAACGCTGGAGCGACAAGAAGCGAACAGCGGGCAGTCGCTACGCCACGGACAGCGCGTATTCCTTTCCCGTGAGAAATAAGAGCAGTGGCGCGCAGAGCAGCGCTCCGGTGTTCTACGAAGCCACGTACAAGTACAACAAGAACGTTGGCGCCGAGCTCGCCATCCTTAGTGGTGGGCTGAACAATATGCTCATGATGATAGCGCAGCTGCTGACGGTCTCCTGCGCAGATCCCAACGGCGTGCTGCTGCTTCCTCCCATGGATATTGATCCGCTGCGCGCTTTGATGCAAGATAAGATTCATCAATCCACTGCTGCGTTGAGGACGCAAAAACAGAGGGGGCTACCAGTTGCACCCCCTCCACCCTCGTCGCCGCCGCCAAGGCAGATCTTGGGCGGATTCGAAGATTTCTTCGACCTTCCTTACTTCAGGTCCCACGCCGCTAAATTCTGCGGGTCTCGGACTCACAACGGCAGCGCGGGCACTTTCGTGTGGACGGGCGAGCCGCCCCCAGGCGCTCACGTCGTGCAGGTGTTTATAAAGTCGCTTGGGCCACAATGGGACTACAAAGCATACACCCCTGCGATGGTGGCACTGTATGGTTCACTGCGGCCGAGCGGCAAGGTTGCAGCCCTTGTCGAAGCTCTCACGCGTCAGGCAGTCGAGCGCGCTGGTCCAAATTGGTCGGCGGTGCACCTGCCAGTCCAGTCGGATTGGTGGTTTGAAACCGGTTGGTGCTTAGGGCGCCCCAACGAGGGATACACGCGCCGCTGCTACACTCCGAGGGACGTTGCCAAGTCCACCCGCGATGCTCGGCGCAACGCGACTGGCACCGTGCTGCTCTTTGCACACGACAAGGTTGCGACGCGTGCCCACCCGTGGGTAGATCCGAAAGGACGAAAGCAAACTGGGAGCCCGATTCACGTCGGGCCGTCCATTTGCAACGGCGCGTTTGGGCCAAGCACGTTCAAGTTGCACTTGCCAACGTCCATTCCCTACCTATTTCGGAACGCGGCTGAGCAGTTCTTTGCGGCCCGCGCCCCTGCGGGATTCTTCGGCAACTCGTTCAGCACTTTTAGCAAAGGAATAGCGCTTCTGCGCGACTCGGGCACGGCCACCAGCTGTCGCACCATGCGCTGCCAGTGCTTTTCTTACGATTGCGCGCAGACGGATTACGCCTTCTGGCAACATTCCGCCAAGGTGGGTATCATCCCAAACCATCCCGGCTTCTGGAAGCTTCGCTCGCTCTCATGGCGTGGCCCGTGCGCTGCGCTGCACAAAGCTGCGTAAACTGCGGGAGCATCCTGTGCTTCCTTTGAGAAGTGCGCACCTCCTGCAGCTGGTGGAAGGCCGTGCCGCCGCTCGCCTGCTCCGTGGACAGGGCGGGGAGGCGGCACCGCAGCGCCGCAGCGTCCGCTGCACGCCGGTGCAGCACTCTGCTGCCTGGTGGGCAGCATGCTGGTGCTGTGCGCGGTGTTTGCGAGGCGGCTTTGGCGCTGTGCTGCCAGCCGAGGCGAGTGGCGCGAGGCACGCGCGGCGCCGCGCGTGGCCCGGACGGAGAGCCTGAGAGCGCGCTCGATGAGCCAGCCGGCGCGGCGCGAGCGCCGTGCAAGCTGGCACATCGTCTGCATGCTGCCGTCAATTCTCTGGTCGACGGCGGTCAATCTCACGATTGTCGATCAAAACCGGCGGGCTTTGTGACGCCGTTTACGCAATCGTTTTTTGGCTTCGCTTTCTCCTTTGCTTGTTTTTATTTCGTTTTTTTCTTTTACGAAGCGACGGAGGCGGGGCGGGCGGGCGCTAACTACGGGCAACTACATGTCGAAGGTTCGAGGTCGACTACTCGCCGCCTGGGTCGTTTGGGGCGCGCGGCTCCGTCGAGGACCGGGCGCGCCCCTTTCCCGGCGCGGCGTAGGTCCCACTCTGACGTATAGAGGGGAGGCACGGACAACGGCCCAATTCATCAATTCCACTCATCTTCTGGTGCCTAGCCCCGTGCAGCGGCGGTCCGGCAGGCTGCCCCCAAGGCCCCCTGGGCCGCTGCGGGTTTTGGAGTTATGCTTTGGCACAGCTTCGGCGATGGCAGCCCCTCTCTGGGGTGTTGCATAGGCGGGGAGTCTCCCCCGCTGGTCTCCTCATTCCCTTTTTTCTTTTTCTTTTGAGCTGGGTGTGCCGCCGCGCGGCGCTCGCGCGGCGGCGGTGTGTGTGTGTGTGTGTGTGTGTGCGGGGGGGGGGGGGGGGTCGGGGGCCCCCAAGAAAAAAGCTCCACAATCATCGGCTCCCCCAGGGGGGAACCAAGAGGGGGGATGGGCGGTCGGCGACGAGTAGAGCCGCAGGCGCGTACGGGGTAGCCGTCACTTTCCTGCCTCACAAGGGCGGGGCTGTCCCGGAAAGTGAGAAACGCCGGGCAGCGTGGCGCATCATTGAACCCTCCCATACGTGCTCGTACTCCTCCTTCGCTGTCCCATCTCCTCATCTCTTTCCCACCTAGGCGGGGCGGGGGTCGGGGGGGCGGCGGGCGCGGGTGCGAGGTGCGGTGCGGTGCGTGCAATCGTGTGTTTGGCGTCATGTCGTGTGTGTCTTCGCTTGTTCCCATAACAACGAAGTCTAGCTGAAAAAAAAATGGTGATGTTGGCAGCCATCGCCGCGGCGGGCGGCAGCGCCGTCGCCGGCGCCCTCTCGTCGGCGGATGCGGCTGTGTATCGCGGAATCGAGACCGACGCATCCGCTGCCGCCTTCACCTCCTATCCCGACGCCACGATGCTCGATCACGAGGGGCGCGACGTGTCGGACCCAGCGCTCAACATGAGCGCCTTCGCCGAGCGCTGCCAGACGAGCCTCAAGCGCGCCATCTGGGAGGAGGAGCGGGGACTGCCGCCGCACCTCTACGTCGATCCGCTCGATGGCGTCGCCGTCGGCGAGCGTGCCCAGCCCGACGACCCGCGCATCGTCTACTTCATCGGCGTCTCCCGCGCGTCGGGCGCCGTGATCGCCTCTCGGCTGCTGCTCGCGCTGCACCACTCGTCGCACCTCTACCTAGTGCACGTGGACCTCAAGGCGGACCCGGCCGTCTACGCGCAGCTCGCGGATCTCACCAAGGACCACCCGAACATTCGGCTCCTCTCGACGCGCCGGCTTGTGCAGTGGGGCGCTTTCACAATGGTGAGTCACAGCAGCATGGAGTTGACAGCTCAAGAGTGACTCTTCTCGCCTCAGTCAGCTGCGAAGCCACTTCCTCTTGCCGACAGGTCCTGCCGATGCTCGACGCCATCGCGTCCGTGGTGAGCCGGAACCTCGACTTCGACTTTTTCATCAACCTCTCGGACGCCGACATGTCCCTCCGGACCAACGAGGAGGTTGTCGGCTTCCTGCGCCGCTACAAGGGGCGGCAGTTCGTGCAGGCGCCTGCGGGGCAACGGGGAGCGGCCAGACGCCGTCGAGACACTTCCGAGCGCCCCTTACGCACGGTCTTTCGAGCGCCGCCATCGCGGTGCATTTCCGAGACATTTCCGAGACTCTCCGCCGCTGAGAGGGTTGCACCGCCGCGGGGGGAAGTGGGTGGAAGACGCGCGAAGGCTCGTGCTCAGGCGCAGAAGCAGCACCTAGCACCCTTCTCCCCGGGCACCTCTTGCCGCCGCCCTGCAGGTGCACGCCGGCAACGGAGAGTGGCTCCAGCGAGCGCGCAACTTTACGGGGGCGCGGCGCCTAGTACCACACCTCCAGAGTACCGAATCCAGTGTGGGTTCAGTCCCGTGGGCGGGTGTGGTAGCGAGCGCGCAACTCCACCGGGGCCCGCACCGCCTCCTCCTACCCCTAGAGAGTCCACCCTCCCCTACCCCCACGGTACCCGAACCCACCCTCCCCTACCCACAATGCACCGAAGCCACCCTCCCCTACCCCCACGGTGCCCGAACCCACCCTCCCCTACCCACAATGCACCGAAGCCACCCTCCCCTACCCCCACGGTGCCCGAAGCCACCCTCACGGTACCCGAAAGCACCCTCCCCTACCCCAACGGTACCCGAACCCACCTGGTAGGCGCATGTGCTCGTCGAGTGCGGCGGGTACGGGTGCGTCGAGGCTGCACCTCGGCTGCACCTCGGCTGCACCTCGGCTGGCTGCACCTCGGCTGCACCTCGGCTGCACCTCGGCTGCACCTCGGCTGCACCTCGGCTGCACCTCGGCTGGCTGCACCTCGGCTGCACCTCGGCTGCACCTCGGCTGCACCTCGGCTGCACCTCGGCTGCACCTCACGCCGGCCGCACCTCGGCTGCACCTCGGCTGCACCTCGGCTACCCCTCAGCTGCACCTCGGCTACCCCTCAGCTGCACCTCGGCTGCACCTCGGCTGCACCTCGGCTGCACCTCGGCTGCACGATGATCTCTCGGCTGCAGCTCGGTACCTTTGCTGCGTCTCGGTACCTCAGCTTGAGCTCGGTACCTCTGCTGCGTTGGTACCTCGGCTTTATCACGATACATGCACATGCACATGCACATGCACATGTTGTGACTCGCCTAGTGTGGAGACGCCGTGTACACCGTGGGGCCTTGTTGTCCTAGCACGGGGGTAGTACCCGTGTGGACCGGAGGTGACAGCAGCAGCAGCAGCAGGTACCTCGGCTGCACCTGTCGGCAGGCACGTCCTCTTCCTAGACACTTCCCAGACACTTCAGAGACACCTCCCTCGCAGGTACGTCTCGCTCAACGACACGCACGCCATCGACGTCGGCGGAGGTGGGTTGGGATACCGTGGGGTAGGGGAGGCCAGAGGAGAGTAAAGCACCGGAGGGGGTGGGTTCGGGTACCGTCGGGTAGGGGAGGCACCGAGACGAGACCCATCTCCCATGCCCGGTACCCCATGCCCATCTCCCATGCCTGGTACCCCACGCCCATCTCCCATGCCTGGTACCCCACGCCCATCTCCCGTGCCCATCTCGCATGCCTTGGTGCCCCGCGCCCCACGCCCCCCGGGGCCGCACCGCACAGGCGCCCCGCCCATCGGCACCGGCTCGAGTTGCTGCTTCGGCCGAGGCGGGCCGGTGGTGTACGCAAATACGAGCCGGCTGCACCTGCGGGAGGTAGCGCTGGCTGCACCTCGGCTGCACCTCGGCTGCACCGCGGCTGCACCTCGGCTGCACCTCGGCTGCACTTCGCCTGCACCTCGGCTGCACCTCGGCTGCACCTCGGCTGCACCTCGGCTGGTTGCACCTCGGCTGCACCTCGGCTGCACTTCGGCTGCACCTCGGCTGCACCTCGGCTGCACCCCGGCTGCACCTCGGCTGCACCTCGGCTGCACCTCGGCTGCACCTCGGCTGCACCTCGGCTGCACCTCGGCTGCACCTCGGCTGCACCCCGGCTGCACCTCGGCTGCACCTCGGCTGCACCTCGGCTGCACCTCGGCTGCACCTCGGCTGCACCTCGGCTGCACCTCGGCTGCACCTCGGCTGCACCTCGGCTGCACCTCGGCTGCACCTCGGCTGCACCTCGGCTGCACCTCGGCTGCACCTCGGCTGCACCTCGGCTGCACCTCGGCTGCACTTGCGCGAGGCGCGGGCGGCGATGACGGCGGAGGCAGCCTCGCGAGCGGCGATGGAGGCGAGGGAGGCGGCGACAGAGGCTGAGGGCGAGCCGGCCTCCGAGGCGGTGACATGTCCGGGACATGTCCAAGAGGTGTCCGAGACATGTCCACAGGCGAGCCGGCCTCCGAGGCGGTGACATGTCAGGGACATGTCCAAGAGGTGTCCGAGACATGTCCACAGGCGAGCCGGCCTCCGAGGCGGTGACATGTCCGGGACATGTCCAAGAGGTGTCCGAGACATGTCCACAGGCGAGCCGGCCTCCGAGGCGGTGCGGCGCGCTAGGGAGGCCGCGCTGGAGTCGCTGCGCTACCTGCACACGGGCGCGCAGAGGGTGGTGCCGCCTCGCCCTCGCGTCGAGATTTCACCTCGCCGCAATCTCGACGCGAGATTGCGGCGAGATGAGCCGAGGTTGGGCCGAGCTTAGGCTCGCAGTGGGTCGTGGTCGACCGCGCGTTCTGCCACTACCTCGCGAAGGATGAGCGCGCGATGCGGTGGAGGAAGGTCTTCGAGCTTGCACGCACACACAACACACGCGCACACGCACGCACACACGCACACACACACACACACACACACACACACACACACACACACACACACACACACACACACACACACACACACAACACACACACACACAACACACACACACACACACACACACCACACCCACGCGCACTGGGCCTTGCACTCCTAATGCCGTGGGGCTCCTGTCGTCTAGACGTGGAGTCGCGAGGGGTAGCCTGGCCCCTTGCCCCACCACCTCGTGTGTGTGGAGAAGTGGACCTCACCTCACCTTCCCTTAGGTCTTCGCGGCGCGCTTCCTCGCCGACGAGTCCTTTGTGCAGACCGTGCTGATGCACTCCCCCTTCGCCTCGACCAACGTCAATAACAACTTGCGCTGGAAAAAAATTAGATATTCTCACCTTCTTGCCCCCCTCCGAGACTGGAGACACCCACACCCCAGTATCAGACCAGGGGGACTGCCCCCCGCCCCCGCTTGCCCTGACTGCACAGGATAGCGTGCCCCAATTGGCGACACAGCAACTTGCGCTGGAGAGACAGCCACTAGAAGCGAGAAGCGAGCTCCCGCACTGTTGGATTCCAGAGCCATTCCTCCCGTACCCGCGCCCCTCCGTCTGCACGCGGCGCTCTGAAGACTCGGCACGACTCCTCCCGCCCCCGAGGAGGGCGGACTTCAGCACGTAGGATCCAGTGGCCGCAACAGTTCGGCGACCCGACGCCGTACTGGGAGAAGCTCGGCTGGAGCTTCGTCGGCGCCGCCGCCGCCGCCGGTCTCGTCCGCGCCGCCGAGATTGCCCGAGATGACGCGAGATTGCCCCGAGATTAGGCGGGCCGACGGTCATCAACGCCACCGAGGCGCCCTCTGTCTCTGCGGGCCCTTTCCTAGCCCTTTCCTGGAACCTTCCTGGAACCTTCCTGTAGGCGCCCTCTGTCTTTGCGGGCCCGTTCTTGGTCGCGCGCAAGGTGCAGCCGAGAGATGGCCGAGAGGTGGCCGAGAGATGGCCGAGAGGTCGCCGAGAGGTCGCCGAGAGATGGCCGAGAGGTCGCCGAGAGGTCGCCGAGAGATGGCCGAGAGATGGCCGAGAGATGGCCGAGAGATGGCCAAGCCTCCGCCAAGCCTCCGCCAGCCTCGGCAGGTGGACCCGCTTGTGGACGCCGAGGCGGTGCGCCTGTACGACGGCTGGATGGGCATCAAGCTCAAGAATGGCACGTCGCGCGTCTGGCTCAACGGCAGCCTGATCGAGCAGGAGAGCCGCTCGGGCCAGGGAGAGGGGGGGGGGGCGGGGGGGAGGGGCGGAGGGGAGGGGCGCGGGCGGGCGGGGGGAGAGGGGGGGGGGGGGGGGGGTCATATCAACGGGGGGGGGCCCCTCTTCTAGGAGCCCCCCCGAGGGGGGGGGCCGCCACAACAGGGGGGGCAGCAGCCGCAGCAGCAGCAGCAGCAGCCGCATACCCAGCAGCAGCAGCAGCCGGAGCAGCAGCAGCATAAGCAGTTCCCCGGGGCCCCCCGACCCCCGCTTGGGAGGGCCCCGGAACCCCCCCCCTCCCAACTCCCTGGGGGGGGGGGCCCCCCGGGGGGGGCCCTCCCCCCAGCCCCCGGGGGGGAGCCTCCCAGGGTGGGGGGCAAG